GATGATAATTTATATTTTCAAAAATATAGTTGCAGTTCAAAAAAGTTCATTAGCTTTTTTGTAGCAACGTAAAAGCGTCTAAAATGTATGCGAACAACCTCTATATACTATATGACATGATCTAAGAATCAACATTATGCTTTTGGTCTAAATAAAAACAAGAATATTTGTTAGGATACTTCATTCTTCTTGTTTAAAGCATTTCCGAAATTTTGAGAATACTTGAGACCGCTATGTAGATTTCAAAACTTAAGGAAAAGCATGAAAGTTCTGCTTATGCCTTCAAAATACTTGAGATGGTAGTATTTTCCAGTTTCAAGTACAAAGAATAACTGGATTAGAGATTTAATTTCAATTATGTATTTGATGAAAGAGAACTTACAGAAGCCAAAAGAAAGCCGTTAGAAATTTTCAAAAATAGTGTTTTGAAATCATTGCATATCTAATTACTTTCTAGATTTTATGACTTATTTATAAGAATATTTGCCTGAATTGTTCCTGATAGCCTTGAAATTTTAGATGCGATTCCAGATTGCTAATTTGTATAAATAAAACCGGTAGTTAAATTCTATTTATATCCTTAAAACAGTTATTATGATTTAAGTAAGAAAATCTTAATTCAGAAGTCAGACAACAAAAATCAGCGTTATATTTTCAAATTTTCATAGGACTAGTTTCGATGGCATTATCGAACCACCATCCTCAGCTGCAAAAGCGCAAAATCGTTTTCACTAATCCCAGCTTCTGTGTGCATAAACTTTAAAGATCTTCATTTGGAACTTTTTTGGGCCCTAGGAATTAATTTTAAAATTATTGATATACCTCAGAATACGAAATGCAAGATATATATTAGTTACTTACATAGAAACATTATTATTTTTTTTTCAATAACATTCTGAAATATTTTTCACGAAGAAAGCAATAAACGCTAAACGTCTAGTTAAAAATAAATCTAACAACTACAAGAAAAGGCTACAAATTAAATTTTAAACGAAAAAGATAATTGGAATTTCACTTAGACATGCTGAAAGTTAACTTGAAACTTTTAGTTACTTTGCCCAAACGGTTTCTATACTTACCATATTTACTTATGAGATATATGAAACTTTGACTTTTAATATGAGACTTTTTTTTCCATGTATTTGTTCTAAAATTCGGAAGGATCTTATAATGGAGCATTTTATTTATTGACGTTGCAGAATGTGAAGGAGTTTAATTATGATACTTTGTAGAATAATTACACCGTTCAAATTCTAAATAAACCACACATTAATATATATATATAATTAATTCACAACAGCTTGAGCCATGAAATATCGAGAAGAACCAAATATGTTTTCCGGCACGCATTAATCACGCCAGTTTAAGGTTTTAAATGCTCACCCCCTTGAAACGTTTTGTTTGAAACATTAAACAAATAGCGGTTAATAATTGGTTATATTATTTTTATTTTTATTATTCTTTAATTTAATGGATTAAACTAGTTTTTTTACATTTTTCTCGCTTTAAGAGCAAAAGACAGATTTACATCTCAGGTTTAGAAAATTAGAAATTACAAAAAATTAGAAATACGATTTTAAAAAAAGATATTATTGTTAGCTTTAAACCTTGAAAGATTTCGAGAAAATAACCATAAAAACCATTTGGTTTAAAAATATCATGTTTCAGTAATAAAATGCGAGAGTACTATATTCTGGACACTGTGTTTCATTTACTGATGCTAATAAAGCCAACTATTTACTAAATATTAGCGAAATGACTTCATTTTTTTTCACGTATACTATTGATTACTCACCATATATGCTAGTGGTTCGAAATTTGAAGCAAGCGCCGGTAAGGCATATTGCGCATTCCGAAAAAATTCAATTATTAAAAACTGAAATATTCGTTTAAACAATGAAACTCAATTTTTCAGGCAAAACTTTTTCCAATTAAAAAAGCCATATTACTCGCAAAAGAACTTTCCATACCATCCTTAATTCTCTCTGACAGTACATCTAGCATTCAAGCCATTGGACACAGTCATTGGACAGCCACTGGACAGTGCATCTAGTATTCACCAATTGGACACAGTCAATAGCCTATTGTACAAGAAATTCATATTCTACTCTCTAAATTCCAAAACAATAATAGACCACATTTCAAATGGATTAGAGCCCACATCGGTAATAGTGGCAGCGATCTAAATGAACTAGCAAACAATTCTTCCCTTCTAAATTACTCAATTCCTTATCCAATATCATTACTAAAAACAAAATTAGAAACATAATTAATGCACTTATGGAAGCAAACCTGGACTCAAGCGACAACCGGCAGAAGAACTTTTACTTTCATATTAAATCTTTCCAGATCATTAATATCTACCAAAAGTTCAATTACATTCTTCCCAACAGCTCATGGTCCATTTACAGAATACTTTAATAGATTCGCACTTCCCCATACAAATCTCTGTACCTGTGGGATTTGAAGGCACAATAGATCATTATCTCTTTCACTGCAACCTTACCAAAGATTACAATTAATTGTATTAAAGCATACAATTAATTGTATTACCTTAAAGCATACAATTTAACTTCTTCTCAGTTATGGTTTCAACAGTTATTAAAAAGTAATAATCTAAGAAATCAACTTCAAAATATAATAAATTATATCTCCGCAAACATCGGTAATCTTAAAGGAACTTGAAATCATATTATCCAAGTTCATTTACCTTACTTAATACGCCATCCTTTTTTCTACTTCATTTTAATTACTTCTGAAAACTACATTTCCATGCTTTCACTCAAGACTATCCTTATTTAAGTACACCTTCAAGATCTCAGAAGCTCAATCAAGAATTTAAGAATATTTTCTAACTCCATCTCCTTATATATTAATCTTAAATATATTAATCAAGTCTCAACTCAAGATTATTAGTCAAAACTTTTATTAATCTTAAATATATTAATCAAGTCTCAACTCAAGATTATTAGTCAAAACTTTTATTAATCTTAAATATATTAATCAAGTCTCAACTCAAGATTATTAGTCAAAACTTTTATTAATCTTAAAAATATTAATCAAGTATCAACTCAAGATTATTATTCAAAACTTTTACTCAAGAATTACCCTCTATCAGACACTTGCAAAAATTTTTCATTCTTATTAAAAACCTATTTCTGATCAACTTTTATTCAATTACTGCTCTTCATTCTCCGTTCAAGAACTCTCTGATGAAAAACTATACTCTTATTCTAAACTCTTTACAAAACTTATATTCTCAACCCCTACTATTCTCATACATTATGTAGATCATTTTCGAAATTTGTAATAATCTTCTTAAGTATTTACTTACGTATTTATGTTTCACTTTCTTACATATTTATTTAGGTATTATGTATTTAATTTTTTTAAAATTTTTATTAAATAATTATCAAATTCTGATGCTACGCGTATATTGACTTCATATATAACAACATTGTATTTAGGCATTTATCTAATTCTAAATTTTTAATTTTTATTTATTATATCTATTTATGTATTTGTATATTTTTCTCGATATTTAATTTTTATTATGTAATTATCAAAGTTCTAAAGCTTTATTGAATTTTACACAGTTGGTAGATGATTCCATCAGTTGAGCATAAAAGATCAATGTCTTAAAGGCGGTGCAGCTGCTCATCTGATGATAAATAAATAAATAAGTATACTATTGATTACTTTTTTTAAAAAACCTGTTTAATTTGAAAACGCTTTTGATAAAAAAATTATTTATTGAAAAAGTTCTGAAAATGAAATCGCATTAATATTCGGGTAACTATTGCTTTATTCGTTAATAAAAATTAATATTTTAGACTGAAAATTTTCTAATAATATCTATAAATTTCTCTTAAACTACATTAATTATTTTAGGAATATATTAAAACATTTTTTTGGAAAATCACTAATAAAAAATAACAGAAAAGTCACCTCACAAAAGACTTTGTACGCTTTAAAGAAATCTGCACATATTAGTAAAGATTGTAGTGTATCTGTCAGTTAGTAGTTTGTAGTATATCCTGCAGTATATATGACAGCTTTCAAAGGTCTGGGCATAGAGTTAACCAGTTTTTTTGTAATTATTTTTGTAATCGGAGGTGGAAGTACAAGAAATGCTACAAAAGTCTTGCAAACTTGGGAATGAAGAGTGTAGAGTCCTCTTCAAGCGCCCGGACAGAAGGAATAGAGCCACAAAGTGGGTGATTGAATGTACTCCTGTCGCCTTTCATGTCCTCATGTCCAAACGAAGATTGTTCCAAGGATGGAGGGAATATAGTATCTACGAGTTTACAGGAGCCAAGCGCTGTTTCCGCTGTCAGGACCTGGAACATACGTCGAAAGACTGCTGCCACAGGCCTTACTGCGCTTACTGCGGAGGCTGTCATGACATTAACGAATGTAAGGCGGACTGCCCTGAATGCATTAACTGCATCATAGCAAACAGAGATTCAAAAGTTAAAGTGGATACACACCATGCAGCGTACGCAGCAAACTGCCCAACATTCCATGCGCACATCCAGAAGATTAAAGCACGTACTGACTACGGCGAGGACAACTAATTTAATAGCCCAGCAAGCAAGGCATCGTCTACCTACTACAACAGCCAGTTCACTTAATAACAAGCGCACCTCTCTAGGAAGCAAGTCAAGTATTTTCACAGTTAGTAATTTTACCTTAAAAGTCAATTAATTTACAAAAGTAATGGAAGTGAATTCAAGAACAGAGGAAAGCAATGTGCTCAAGTTTGTCCAAATCAACCTCCAAAGAGCGCGCGCGGCTACTGCACAGCTAGTGCAATATGCTATGGAGGAAGAGGCGGACTTCCTTTTAATTCAAGAACCTTTTCTTTATGCAGGGCAAGCAGCAGAGAATTTCCCCTCCAATGGACCGTCATCCAGGATTCAGGAAGTGAGGGAACAAGAGCGGCAGTAGTTTGTTGCCACAGCAGATGGTTGCCAGTTGTGCTAGCAAAGTCAAGAGACATGGTCACAATTGCAGTCGAGGCTATGGGACTGAGTGTCCTGGTCACGAATGTTTACATTCCACCTACAGTAGACGTTTCTCCCACATTAGATGCCTTGCAGAATATCCTTACGTCCTACCCGCATGCACACCATGTATTGGCAGGAGATTTTAACTCTCATGCGGAGGACTTCGGATATCCGACCACAGACCCAAGAGGTAGAGAAGTTGTGGACTTCATTGCATGCAACGGACTCATTCTTCATAACGTGCCGGACAGTCTGCCGACCTTCGAGACCCAAATGGGAAAAGGATGGCCCGACATCACTCTGTCAACAGCGCGTCTGGCTCAGAAAATACAGCACTGGACCGTAAGTGACACTCCCTCAAACTCGGACCATCGCTATATAACGTTCCAGATAGGTCAGCCACATGCGCAGTTTATGAACAAGCGTTATAGAACCAATGGCAGAAAATTAAAACAACTTGTAAGCAGGCTAGGACCAGTACTAGAGCAGGTGGACGAGGCACTTATGAAATGTCAGAACATAAAGGATGCTGACGACTTAACCACCAGTATGATACGAGATATTCAATCTATCTGTGATGCCACCCTAGGCCTGAAATCACCAAAAGTTTTAAGAGTGGCAAACTGGTGGACGAAAGAGCTCCGTGCACAGCGCAGTCGCACCAGGGCATTTAGGCGTAAGATGAAGAGCGAAAGAGACCCAGACAGGAGGCAAGCCCTTAGTGTGTTCTTTATAATAAAGAGCAAGCTCAGTACAAAAGGGCAATTACAGCAGCCGCAAAACTTGCCAGCTGGAGGGAGTTCTGTACTAAGAATGTAGAAGTCTATGGTGCTCTCCACAAGATAGCTTCGAACAAAGTTTACAGACCACCGGAGCTAAGAGCCTTTGCAGGGCAGCAGGCTGGACACATAACAGAAATCACGCTCAGGACAATTCTTGACGCCGTACTTCCGGAAGAGGATATTACAGATCCGTCCGACCACCAGGCTTATACGCTGCACACATCTGTCCCAGATGATATGCCATTTACGGAGAAGGAAGTCTCCGCAACGATCAAAATTCTCCCGAAAAGTAAAGCCCCTGGTCCGGACTCAATAGACTATCCAATCTTGAGAGCAATACATAAAGCAAGATCCGGCTTTCTCACGCGTTATTTTAACAAACTGCTAGCACTGCAAAGCTTTCCGGAACCTTACAAAACGGGGCAGGTTGTGCTCTTTAAGAAAGAAGGGAAGGATCCAAACAGCCCATCCTCTTTTAGGCCGATTTGTCTTCTCCCGGTAATAGGGAAACTCTATGAGAAGCTCCTAGTCCAGCGGCTTAAATTTCATATGACGCAGAGTGGGGCAATCTCTGACGCACAATATGGATTCAGAGAGCTACGCTCAACGATTGCTGCCCTATCAAAGATAAGAGACTATATCAGCCACTTGCATGAAAGGAAACAGCATGCAGCGGTCCTAAGTCTGGACCTGCAAAGCGCATTTGACTCTCTGTGGTGGCCCTCAATTTTAGAGGCACTGCACCAGGCAAGGATCCCTGATAACCTCTTGCAGGTTTTCAAGCAATACCTGTCCAATAGAAAGTTCATAGTAACACACACTGGCGGTGTCATAACCAGAAGCCAGACAAAAGGCTGTCCACAGGGATCGTGCGCGGGTCCAGACTTGTGGAACGCAACTTTCGATTCCATCCTACGATACGAATGGCCGTCCCATACACAGATAGTAGCCTTTGCGGATGACGCGACCTTTGTGGTGGGCGGCAAGAGTAGAGATGAACTGCAGCAAAACTGCAATGATGTAATTGATACCTTCTCTCGGCTATGTCAGGAGAAAAAGCTAATAATTTCTGAGGCAAAATCGAAATATATAATTTATCATAAGCCAGGCCAAACTTTAATAAGAAACCCAACCATCCAGCTTAATGGGAAGACCATCAAAAGGGTCAGAGAACTAAAACTCCTGGGTATTATATTGGATGAAAAGTTCACCTGGCTGCCTCACCTTAAAGCCCAAAGAGAAAAGGCTCGCCGAATCGCAAACAATCTGCAAAAAATGCAAGGCCCGCACTGGGGCCTTCGGCCCAATATCTACAAGATACTTTACTCCACTGTCGCGGAGAGGGTCCTAACCTACGGAGCAGCCATCTGGGCAGCCCCGATGACAGTCAGAAAGGCAAAATTGCTAAGTAGTGCACAGCGACCATTTGTCCTGGCCATAACGAAGACCTACAGGACAACGTCGACTGCGGCCGCTTCGGTATTAGCAGGGCTTATGCCGCTCCCAATCAAAGCGCAGCAAGAAGCCTCAATTGCAAAGGTGACGCAACTCCAACAGCCATGCACATATGGGGATACATGCTATCTGCCAGAAGTCTACGAAACACGCAGGTCCAAACTAAGCACACATCCGTCGGAATATGGACTGGGCATAAGGACTTTCCACTCACCAGCGTTAACCCCGCGCTTAGACGGACCAGGGGCCGTGCTTTATACAGACGGGTCAAAAATTGATAACGCTGTAGGCAGTGCCTATATAGCCTATATAAATGGAAACATAGCAAAGGAATGGAAGGGCCGTCTGGGAGCACAGAACTCAGTGTTCCAAGCGGAAGTAGTTGCCCTCACAAAGGCAGTGAAATGGGCAATTGACACACGGCAGAGTCGAGCTACGATATTTACTGACAGCCTGTCAAGCATTTATGCTATCAACAACCCTCTCCAGCGCTCCGCACTAATCTCGCACCTGCAAGAAGTCCTCCGTCTACAAGAAAAGTCAATGAGAATCCAAATTTCCTGGGTGAAGGCGCACGCCGGAATCCAGGGAAATGAAGCAGCAGACGCTCTTGCCAAGAAGGCTGCCCAAAATGAGGAAACGGAGCAGATTCAGGTGCCCCTGCCCCGGTCATGCCTAAAGAGGCAAATAGAGGAGTCCGCCATTGGAAACTGGCAGAATGAATGGGACCAAATCCCGCAAGGCCGCAGAGCATATGAGTTCCTGCCCAAGGTAGAGGTGGACCGGCTCATCTCATCGCCCTACCTCACGCGATATATAACAGGCCACGGCCCCTTTCCGACGTACTTTGCAGAAAGGGGTCTAGCAACAACTGATATGTGTGTTTGTGACAACGTGGGCTCACCAGACCATTATGTCACGGAGTGCCCCTTAACAGCAGAATGGCACATCAAATTCCCAACTACCAATGTTCTGCCTTTCAAACGCCTTCTCATAAAACATCGAGGCACGCGGCAAAAGCTTAAAAGCATAATGGACAAACTAGAAAAAAATGGGCATAGACCTCTGCAGGCCGGAATAGGGCACATGCAATAAACACAATTGGCATAAAAGCGTCTTACAACTGTGAAGTCTCTAGATGGTTGCAGGGCCAGGGTAATACCCGAGTAGTCATAGAAAGCCGTCCGGGTGCCCTGTCCTGCTGTCA